CAGTCGACATTTTTAAACATGAAAGTTAAGAAAACTACATACAAACAATAGACTTAAAACCATACCAGAGTAAAATTATCAAAATCGTGTAACACACATCCATAGAGTACATTTACCCATAGCAAAACAACAATCACTGTACAACGTAACAAATGTGATAACGCCCTTAAATAAGTCCGGAATACTCCGGAAGCGAATAGTTAATTAATTTAGTGCTACTTAGCAAGATGCCGAAAACACGAGTAGGCTTTGCGTACACAAATGAAACACCGCAAGACTTGTACTGTAATATAACGTTGCGTAAACATTACTACGGTTCTTCTGTTGTGTGTTATTTGTCATTAATAGTTAGTTGTGAAGATATTTTAGAATGTTGCTTAAAGGTTAATGTTCAAAGCTGATATTCTAGTACCTAATTCAAAATTTAATTCTTGTTATTTTAAACGAAATAATTTTGTATGAGAACGTAAAGATAATATGGTAATCTAATTTGGGTTTCTTTTCGTAAAAATGAAAGTATTTCAAAATCTATACAGTTAATTAAAATTGAAGTATCTATTTGTAACGTCAAAATAATAGGTTTTTCATGCTCACACGGTTATTTGCACAATACCTATGCCTAAAAACCAGTTTAAATATTTTTCTGTCTGTTTGTTCCGGGTAATCTTCACAACAGTTGGACCGATTACTACCAGGTAGCTGTTTATATAAGGAGTAACTTTGGCTATTTTTCTCTCAGAAAAACCCTTTTGAAAAAAATTTGCCCGGTCCGGGAATCGAACTAAGGCAGCGCTTTTAAATTCCACGCGAACGAAGTCGCCTGCACCAGCTAGTATGATATATCAGTAATAGTTTATTTTAATAATAATACATATCCCGGAAACTATTATATAAATTTCCGAATAGCGATTTCGGTCTCACTAAAAATCCTTTTAAAAATTGTTTATCTCAACACGAGAAGTAAAATAACTTCTAAAATTGCTTTCATTGAACATGTTTCGTTTACATTCTCATTAAAGTAACGGAAACGGCTATTAGATCGTCCAATGGCTCTTTTGTCGGTACAAACAACTTAAGTAAATACACACAGCAAGTATGAAGGATGTTTAGAAATTTAGAAAAGTGTAGCAAGATTACGAATAAGTTTGGAGTGGGAAGTGTCGTATTTCGCTACCTTGATAATAAGAATACCGTCCTACACAATGATATTAGTAGTGATAATCTTATAAATCGGAACGGAGTCGTTTGCTGCTTGCCCGAACTTTAAATTCCCCGTTATAGATGTTTTCTTTATTTCGGAATCGATTTTTGTGTGAGGTATCAACGTGTACACCAAATTTCTTAATAACTAGTTAAGCAATTAACACGTGAGAACTCATATTGACGAATCACCACAATATACAGAATCTTTAAAGAACACTATCAATGATGTCCTGTGCATTTGAGCAGTTTTTGTTGAAAAACGTGTATTAATAAAATAATAATAAATAAAAATAAACCATGGGATTTGACACGCTAAAATTAACACAGGACTGACTGTAAACAAAACAAAAACAAAATTAGATTTGAAAATTTAATCATAATTCAAGCTCGAACGCTTGTAATATAAATAATACAGATAAATAATAATACGTTATCTTCGAAGTAATATTTAGTATTTAGAATAGTACCTAATAGGTATAATCTCTGCAAAAAATAATTATGTCTGCGCCGGCATACATATATTTAACACTCAATCATTATAAAGCGACCAAACTCTTTAATAAAACCGTATAAAATACATCATTTTCTCTCACCTTAAAACTTCGAAATAGATGGATTTATTATGATGTCTGAGAGCAATAAACTGGACTCTCTTGTGTGGGCAGCGAGCTATTACCACCAGACCAGCTCATGAGTAGCGGGGCCGCCTATCAGCTTACCCATTATTACCTAAACTTATTGTATTTTCCTATGCTCCACAAGTCCATATAAATCGATTGTAATACAGAAATTGAAAGCGGCGCGGTCATAAATAATATTCCCTCATTATTTAGTTTTTGATCCAGCCTCTTTTTATTTTCTAAGCCAATATGAAGCTATATTTCCACTAGGAGACATTTGTACTGCGACCTTATCATCAGACATAAAGTATAGGTACGTGTGACATGGCGTTGCGTGACGTCGCCCAGCGCATCGGGAAATGATGGCTTAACATGTTGTCAATACTCTGCTAGTATCAACACAGGTGACCGTGTCCCCTGACAGTCGCCCGACAGCTTATGATTAAATAGTACGCATCTTGCTTTGTGTTCCACAATGTGCAATGTGAAACACAGTACTAACAATTCCCCACGGGCGACATCTTAATGATATCTGGGTAGTGTAGACAGTTGCCAAATTCAGGTAGAGCCCTACTATAATAGCCACCAAATAATAGCCACAATACATTAATACTGCATGCTCGTCCTATCGTGCAGGTTGCACAGTTATTTATTAGTCATAGTAGTTGACAGAGTGATAATAAATTTCTTGAAAAATTGATAACTAGTAATCATCAGACCTAGATAATTCAGCCATATTTCTTTTTATAAATACTTTATATTGGTTACACCGAAGCCCAAAAAAATGAAAAAGAAAATCTCTTAAGAAACAGAGCAGAAAAAGGTAATAAACTAGTTTTATATAAGGAAAATTTCTAGAACAAAATCCTATATTTTATTTATTATGTACATATACTTAATGGCTTTTATACTAATATAATAATTCACTTATTATATTAACTAATGGAAGCGAAAGGCCTTCGTCGACGTCAAGCCTCTGTGAGTCGCTACGAATTCAGAATAAAAGACAGACATATATATTAAATGTTATATACAATTTATAGGATGGAACAGGCTGTTTTTGTATAAGTAGATACAGAGAGTCTAGCAACATTCCTCACTTGAATTATACTTAGTACACATAATAAGTTCTAATCTCTAAAGTATAAAGACATAAAAATAATGTTTGCTTCACTATAGAAATTGCTTTCAAAATTCTGATCGATCCGCACACACCCCACAACCGTTATACCATAATTCACGTGAGAAAATCTATAGAATGGGTTCGTTAAGTCCCTTAAGGGCTCTCGTTGAGTATTGTATCGCCGTCATGGCACCTCTGACAGCTATCGAGTGGCCACCGAACACCAAATGTTAATGAGACGTGGAGATACTGACAGAATCGTGTATAGTGATAGATCGCAATGAACATGCAAAAATCAACAATGTCTTAAATATGGGACAGGCAAGGCATGAAGTGAATTTACACGGGTGTCAATAATATGATATTCTCATTGAGTCTGATATTAACAGTAGGTACTAAGAATCAACTCTGTTTAGTTGTATAAAACAAATTAGATGATGTAAACTTCTATTATGCTAATAACTAATACACTTTAAATAATACAGACGGACAGGCCTGTTGGTCTAGTGGTTAGTGACACTGACTGCTAAGCTGGAGGTCGTGGATTCGGTTTCCACCCAGGACAAATATTGTGTCTGTGTCACGGTCATTAGTTCTGTGTCTGGGTGTAATTTATCTAAAATATGTATGTATTTAAAAAAAATATATAAGTATGGGATCAGGCGGCCGTGTGTGAGATGTGTGAGGTATATTATTAATAATAAAACCTTTAAATAATAATTTTATTGGCGTCTGCAGTATTTCCGGACCGATACGAACTTCAGAGTAAAAACGTTTGAACCCTTTAAACAAATAGAAGGCAACCCCACGTCAGTCGCTTGCACGTGTATGAAAGACAAACACGTACATATATCCTGTAATCGTAATAACCACATAAAACCACAAGAGCTTTACCATAAAACATAAATTACCTAAAAGATACATTCACTTATAAGATTATAATCATTTAACAATTCAAACTGTACTTAAAATATTCATAAATCGCAACGTAGAGCCCTGTTTTGTATGCCATAACACCTCTCGATATTTTATTCGTTGGAGTTGGAGTGTTATCTAACGCTGTTGACCCCACGACCTCGCAATCTTGCGGTACCTCCTCAGAAACGCCTTACGCATGCATAATTGCGTGCTCATGGCACATCTCTATCGAAAACCATTTGAATACAGGGAAATATTGCTCGGACATGTAATGAGACGGTTGTGACGTCAGCATGTGATTCACTACCCATTGCCTCCAATAACGACATGGTAGTGACTGGTGATATTTTTACGAAAAGACTAAAGTGTATTAAATTAAATATTCAATTGAAACTGGAAATTGAACAGAACATATTTAAATGTTTATGTACTATTCTAGAGAGATTAATCCATATTTATATTATAAATGTGAAAGTGAGTTTGTTTGTTTGTTACGCTTTTACGCATAAAAAACTAAACCGATTTAAAAATTCTTGAAAGCTGCATTATCAGCGAGTAACAGGCTACTTTTTTACCGTGATAACCGACATACATGCGGGCGGAGCCACGGGCAAAAGATAGTAATAAATAAATCAGTTCGGTAATATTTATTTTTTTCAATTTTACAGATAGGTCTAAGGAAAAAGAAATCTATTTTTTGCCTTCGGTAAACGGTTGATTGGTTATATCAAAATTTAATATCAAAAAACGATGAACTTTAAACTTTCAAAACCGCTTTACTGACTGGTACATCATGATAGCGGCGGAATACCGAGTGCATAGCTAGAAACCCGTCTATCCAATTGATGCGATAAAAAATAAATTAAAATAACTAGGGAACTTGGCACCTGATGATATCGATAGTAGCCTCTCACCCATTGTGCTCTCAGAGACGGTAGGTTCTAATTGCGGTTGCTTTGTTATACAAAATGAGGTGTTAGCTCTTCTATTAAATAATAAGTAGTTTGATGCCAGTGTAAAATCGATACGTTGTCCGTCAGATAAGAAATTGGTTTCGAAGGTAATGACCATTTCGATGTAAGTGTTATAAATAAATATGTTTTTGTTGTTGCAGATAACTTTAAAGAAGACTGCGTATGGCCGAAAGATACAATAGGAGTCCAATCAAAGCGTCGTCGTACGCTGTTTGGACAGATCGAAATGGTTTCAATAGAAACGGCAACTATAAACAAGTTCGTGACTTAAATACGGACAGTCAAAAAGAGAATCAAAATGTTCTTGGAAGTACAGTTGCAAACAGTGAAATATACCAAAACGCAGAGAGCAGAAGTGATGGTGTTATAGCGGGACTACCGGGTGGAGTAGACGGATCAATAGAAGATGAGGAAGTCAGGAAAAATGTATGGAGTGACGTGGATGACGAACTTTACATAGCAAATTTAATTAAAGAGAGAACTTCAAATGAAGTGAAACGTGAAAAACGTGATACTAGTGATTATTTAAGTGATAGTGATATCAGTGAAAAGGTTGTGAGTAGTGTTAAGTTAGAATACGCGATGTGGGAGATAGAACCCACTGATTTGACGGAGTGTGACTGTCTTGGCCCTCCTCCAGAGTTTTTGTTACCACCGCCACCACGACCGCCATTTCTCCAAGCGGAGTATTACTGCGGTGACGACCCAATACCCGATTTGGAAACCTGCGACACGGAACCAGTAAGTGTTTTATTTTTATTTCTTTTTAACGTTAATGTGTTATTTCTGTTCTTATAAGAAGACTTTTAGAGAGGTTTATATTCAACACTGGCCATCCATGGATAATACAATGATCATGATGGTGTGTTTAAGTTAATTTACATTTTCAAATTTAAGTTAGTTTTTAAACAATTTCGTACTACGTACACATTTTTGTTCTGTGGTTTCAACATCTTTTATCAACATAACATATCTGATTAACAAACTTGAGTCTTGACTCTTTTATTTTCCGATTGTTCGTAGCTCTTGTCTAATAAATGGACTAGCAAACCGTTGCTTCTAAACAATCCACAATGCGCGCTAAACAATTTGCATTTACCTTCTTATTACAATCATCATATCATATGGTAGCATTCACCCGAGGCTTTGAAGGCAAAGAACTCAGGTCCTGTAACTGTACTAAACCAAGATATGTATTTATCTGAAAATTTAAAGTCTCCCAAATTAGTGCTCAATTCCCTTACATTTAGTGCTCAATTCAGAATATTCTATTCTAGCAACTCGGGTTAAAATGCAAGATGATCTTATCTTATTTAACGCTATAAAGAAGTCAATACTTAGTACGTAAAATAATTATAATTAGAGATAATGATTTAGGTACCATGCTTGTGGTTTAAGGCAATTCAAATGTCCAATGTAAGGAGTATTTATGTTATTTACTTGTTTGTATGTGGCAGTTTGTTTTTATGATCGTTATTTGTGGGTTTGTCTAATCCCGCGACACATGGGCCTATTTTGTATTTCAAAAACAACAAATTCTTCAACTGTTTTCTATCCTTCTCGTGCAAGGAAGAAATAGGAAAACATAGGTACATTATCTTTAAAGACTTACTTGCAGTGTTATGTTAGTTATGTTGCCGTATTAAATACTTATATAGAATATTAAAATTTAGCTTTATACCTCCTCCATTTTAAAACATTTTAAATTGTGTATCATAAAGGTTATTTGTTTTGTAGATTTTCTTTCTTAAACAACTCCTCGTTAAACCAATGTGTTTATTTACTACCCTCATATCTATTTATCTTATTTGATCTTAACACTTTGTTCAACAATAAAGAAGTCGGCCCTCTTAATGCGGCACCATTTTTAATTAATCCTTATCTCAAAGTCTAATAGAAACAGCCCTGTCCTAATTAACATACAACTAAAAATGCGGTCTTTTAAAATTTTGACTTGCGGAGCTCACTTAAACACATCATAAGAGAATTCATGTAAGTAATTTTTATATGTTGATGGGTACGCTTTATTCTTTTTTATATTCAATTTGAAATTGAATATGAATAAAAAACGATCTCAAATGCTTTTATTACATGCTAGATAATTGTAAGATTCATTACCAATATTACCCTAAACTTTGTAAAACTTTAAGTAACTACCAGAGTTCTGACTAAAATTTGCCCTGTCCACCTTAAAAAACATTACTGTAACAATGCCCACTTGATGTCAATAAATTACAAAAACTAGGTATATCAGAGAAAAAACATCGCGAGTATATGCAACTCAAACAATTCTTGAAAACAACACTGTATGTTGCCGTCGTTCGTTTTTAAATCGGACAAAAAAAACAAAAGTTTAAGCTTAGACGAAGAAGTTTAATCTGTTTAATTAAAATGTCTAACATTTACGTTTCTTCTAACACATTTCCAAGAAACATAGAAACTTAAAGTTCCTCGTAATCATCTTATTCGTGTGTTTGTCTGTAAATACTTGGTTTAAAACCGTGAATCCGCTGTATAAGTGTAACTGTTTGTGTAACTCTAACTTTTGATAGTACTGTCACTGTAGTGTTAGTTTTGGCTTTGTCGTGTGAGTTTACTTCGTCGGTTTAAATAGTGTTAGGTGACTTTGCATTGTTTGTTTAAGTTACAAGTGCGTCTTTAGCTAATCTATGGAAACTTTTAGTCGTCTTATTTACTCTTCATTATTATTGTTAGCGCTATCAAGTTCATTTGTTTTGCTTACTATTTTTAAATCAAAAACAAAACGGCTATATCATAACATTATATTTGAAATCTATAATATATATCCACGCTAATTTAAGAATGCTAGGGAAACACAACCCTTACTATTTTTAATTCACTCAAAAATAGCAAGTATTCTAACCGAATTTTAGATAACCGCAGACATACAAACATATTGAGAAAAAAGAAAGAAAATCACTATTATAATAGGATTCTTAATTCGTCACCATACGGACATTCGTATGGTAACGGATAGAGGATTAGGAATACGGAATGTCACCACCGTATTTATCCCATGGGTGTCGTAAGAGTCGACTAAAGCACTGCTAAGAGAAGGAACACTTGAAACAAACCCTATACCAACCCGTCTGGCTAGACGAGTTGGTATAGGGTTTGTTTGTGTGTGGTATAGTAGGTGATGCCTATGTCCAGCAGGAGACTACTAGAGGCTGCTGATTCTGATAAATAGGAATCTTTACTATATAATTCATCAGCAGGATATTTTCAGACTCGTTCGAAGTTTCGAAGATCGTTTTAAGTCATAAGGTAGTCTACTCTCACCAAAGAAGTGGTTTTCCTTAATAAAATCAATAGGTACTTTACAATGAGTCACAGCATACTCCTCAACATGCGAGGCTGTAATGAACTGACCTACCGCGGTTTGCGGTTTTAAAACTTTTTACAATGATTAAGTCGTTAACATCTTCAGAGCTTCGTGGTCATGACTGTCAACTTTTTTTATCTTTTTTTTCTGTCTTTTTCCCATAAGGACGTGTCAGCCAACAGTTAAAAATACTTTATTATAATTGTACGTCCTTATTAGCTATATAAATAATACTCGGAAGAAGCGGTACTTAAAGACAGTACCGAACTAGATACAAGTAAAAAAGAAGATCAATTATTGAATTTTATTGAATGTTAATTTAAAATATCTCTTTTCAAAATTTTTATTTGAATTGAAAAAATAAAACATACTGAACTGATGAAATTTTAAATAATGTTACGTCATCATTGTTTGTATACCCATCTGTACCACAAAGCGAACCAAAAAATTAAATGTTGTAATTTATTCTGCCGAATTAGTTGTATCCTCTCTAGCTAGAGAAAATACCTTTTACGATGATACAAATGATACAAAGAAATTATAATGATAAATTTAAAATTCCTTATTAATTTCTCTTTTTAGCATGCATTATGCTAAAAAGAGAAATTAATAAGGAATTTTATATTTGCATTTGAAAAAAAATAACATAAAGCTTTAGCATTAACCACACAATTATTAACTCGTAAATTCGACACTTTTCTCGAAACATTTTGGGTGTCCTGGTAAATGTTTTATCACATTCGAATAAAAATAAAATTTCCTGAACAACCTACCGCATTTTATTTACACACAGAATCCTACCTGCAAAGAATACAGCGGATTCAAATAAATTAGTTTCTCATTAACATGGACACCCCAAAACATTTTTATTGACCAGTTTCTATTGAAACGTATCAATTCAGATACAAATTAATAACATTATTTAACATCGAAAGGAAGGAAAAAATCTACAGCGCTTAAATTCTGCGGTAAGGTAGTTTAGGTATTTCTATAAGATGATTAAGACATCAACCGCCTGATAATTATAACAAATTTAATTCGTAGATACCCAACATTTTCTTTCCATTGGATTTTGAGCTTTATCATCCATCTTACATGAACTAAAATCTTACGAAATATATCGTTTTAGTGGCATACTTCTTGAGCGTTAAGCAACCTGCGATTAAAGTGCGCGCGGATTTCGAATGTGTACCTAAAGAACAAAACTTAGAGTTTGATTTTGCTTGTATACATGTTTATGTGAATTGGTTTAATGGTACATCAACACCTATTTTGTAAAGGAAAATAAAAATTGAATGTCTAAACCTCATGGACGTTCGTCACCTTTCGAAGAAGTATTGGGTGGTCTATCTGTGGGTTACCAAGAAGTAGTAAGCAAGCCTTCAGTCTATTTTAAAAGTTTTATTACATTGCATAATGTTAGATGCACCAAATGTACTTATGTAGACGTTTATCATGCCTTGCTGCGACTGATTTTGACTGTGTTTCTTTTTTAATAATTTCTCGATTCCCGTCTCTTTCTTTAAATTTATATTTAAAACATCAATAACTTCCATTCCGATGATTATGGTCAATAAATAATTTAGCAAATATATAACACTCTTTATTGATAATTATGTACTTTCTTTCTTCTCTTTTCTTTTATAAGAGACAACCGCATTAGGAATTTATCCTGTGTAGCGGGGGACTACAAATATACATGAAACGGACACAAAGAACACCCAGACTCAGAACAAGAATTTGGGGATCACAGAAAGGGTCGTCCAATGTAGGGATGGGACCCACAATACTCAGCGTAGTAGTAAGCGGCGTGGCCACCGCTTAAACTACTACGCCATTCGTGCAGTCTTGCAGTCATCTTTGTTATATACCCGTACCATAGATATAGGATAATTCAAGCAAACGAAATACATGATACTGTCTCCGGTTACGCGTTATGTGTGAGTTTATTGTACACAAACTGTTACTGTGAATGTGTTAGTTTGAGGATGCGAACTCTCATTTCTTAACTTTCTGCCCATTGTATAAGAATACTAAAAAGTTTCAACATTTAAAACAGTATTAACTGATTAAAAGCTATATGTTTAATGTTTTAGGGTCTTGCAACATAATTGTAATACAATATAAGAGAAGAATCTCCATGATTAATTATTTTTCTTGAGTTAAGTGGACTAAAAAACCGTTAATCACGCCTGATTGAAATAACAATATGTTCGGTGACAGTTATTCCATCAAATAAAGTAGAGACACTAGCGAAGTTCTTACGATCGAATATATCATCTAATATCTGATTCTATATATAAACATATCTATATATCTATATTATGATTGTAAGATTTTATCCGTGTGGTGACGGATTAAAAATACAGAATGTCACCACCCCTATTCATCCCGT